ATTATTTTAAAAAAGTCGTCCGTCGTATTGGATCCGCAATTTTGAATTTTGAAAATTTAATATCAGTTTCGAAATCAGCGACGACGAATGCCCCTGGATACCAAATTTCATAAAAATCAATAATTAAAAAAAAAAATCGTCCGCCATATTTCGAAATCAGTGATAACAAAAAGCCCTAAATACCAACTTCCATTGAAATGTGTCAAATACATATGAATAAATATTTTTGTCGTCCTATATTCTTGATTCGTCCCTATGTGTGCCTGTGTGGCAGAAAGGGTACCAGTCTGGTTGTATGAAACGTATTTTTAGGTAAAAATTCGAACAGACATTTCACGGACTCAACGCTGGTAATCGAATGTTCGGTTTTCGTTGAGTTTGTTTCAACTTTAATGCCAAGTTCGATAGGTTTCATCATTTTCTGGCCATTCAGAGTTGAGAACATTTACAAACTTAATTAAACGATATATAAGCAGTGGCAAAAAGAAACAGTTGAGATCCGAGTTTAGTCAAATTTGCCATGTAGTACCTGTGCCTAGGAATGAAGAGAATTTCCTCGCCCACTACGCTAATAAAATTTAGTTCTTATAAATGGATTGGTGGGCGTGTCTGTGGGTCCATTTCGACCATATTTGATATTTAAGCTTTCCGAGTTTACGCCATCTAGTGTAGTGCGGCGTGGCAGTTTGCCAATTTATGCGATTTTTCAGATTTCCTAATTCAAACACTACCGAAGTCAACCTCATTCAACGCTCTGCTCCCGACAACTAAAATTGCATAACCGTACTTTATATTTAGACAATAAGCATGCACTTTGCGTAACACAATAGGGGTATTCTCCAAATCTTGCAAAGCCATTGCACGTAGCACGGATTGCACGGATTGCATAAATTGCAAACACACAACAAGAAAATTCATGGGAAACAACATTTCCTATCGCTGCAAAATATGCAACGTCGAAACCCATGTATATATTTTGCAAAATAGCATAGCAAGATAAAAGCGACCCTGTGCTAGTTGTTTTGTTGTTGGAATTGCTACATATTTCTCTCATTCCTCTCATCTCGCTCACTTAATTTTTTTTTGCTGTCTCTTGTTATTGTATTTGATACATAATTTCGCTGCTTGCTCCCCATGCATGCTACCACTTTGCAATGGGGTGTTCTCGTACTCTTCGAAATTTGGAATAGTATTTTTGCATTTCGTGCAATCCGTGCATCGTGCAAGACTTCGAGAATACCCCTAATGAATTTCCCACATACAACAGAGATTTCCCAACAATATTTCCATGCAAACAAACAGTAGTCATCTTCAATTTCAACATTTATTGCATCTTAGTTTTCCGCCTTCATTCATTTGAGCTTCCTCTTCTTCTACTACTTCTTTTTCCTCACATTTCAGATTGTCGTCTTCATCTACGATTACATGACAGTTCAACTGTTAGCGGCAGCAGCGGCGATGGTGCCAAGGGGGACATTCATCGAAATCAACGTCAACAAGCAATTCGTAGCGAGTGAGTCGTCGCTTATCTATCGGCCAGATCGTCGCCTAGAGATGTGGCGTTACGTCTCGTACATGTTGTTGCACGCAAATTGGTTCCATCTGAGCTTCAATGTAGTCGTACAGCTGGCGTATGGTCTGCCCTTGGAGGTGGTGCACGGTTCGACGCGCGTTGCCATCATCTATTTGGCGGGCGTATTTGCCGGCTCGCTGGGCACCAGTGTCGTTGACTCGCAGGTGTATTTGGTGGGCGCAAGCGGTGGCGTTTACGCGCTATTGGCCGCACATTTAGCGAATATTCTGCTCAATTTTGGTCAAATGCGCTATGGCATGCTGCAGCTGGCGCGGCTCATTGTACTAGGTAAGTGATGAAAATACCGTTGGAATTCGTTATGATTGTGGACTATGAAGGTCATTAGTGTTTAATGTGCTGACTCTGTGTGTATTTAAAATTACAATAATGCAAATTTAATGTGAACGCAGCAAAATAATTTTCAAATTTGCGAAACAAACCATATTTAATTGGTCTCTTTGATATTGCAAACCATTAAAGCGGATATGCAATAAATCATTTTAACACATTTTTAAATTAATTTATCTGTTTTTGGTTTCACTTTTATTTCAACAGTTTCCTGTGACCTGTGCTATGCAGTCTACACCAAATACCAGTACAGCAGTAAGGTCGCATATTCAGAGGCCAAAACACTATTACCGTCAGTATCGTATGTTGCGCACTTGACTGGCGCGTTGGCGGGCTTCACAATGGGTTTGCTGGTTTTGAAGAATTTCGACAATTCGAAAGCTGTGCAGTCGAAGCATTTGTGGTGGTTGGCATTGGGCGTCTATTTGGCTTTTACGATATTCGCGATTGCGTTCAACCTCATCAACACGGTCACTGGGCAACGGCTCGAGGAGGAGAGTGAAACGGTTACGCAACATTTACTTCATAATTTGGGCATTTCATAAGCGCACACCAAAGCTTATGTAATAAGACAATATGTAGCTTAATAATTACGTTAGTTTATTATTTGTAATCAAAGAGCTCTTTGCTAATACATATGCATGTTTAAAGTTACTATACGTTTTTATTTGGTCAACATTTTTTTCTTTAACGTTACAGTCGCACGTATACTTCCGTTTATATTTCATAAACGTTGTGTGAAAACCGACAGTTTTTCATTTTTCCTGATAAAAGAACCCCAAAAGCTACATATTATATACAGACACTTGTTTCCTATCTTTTGTTGTTTTAAAGATAAATGTGGTTTTAGGTGGTCTTTAACGTTACATTTTTTTGGAAGTCAGTTATATATAACGTCACACGTAAGGAAAACTTGGCGAATCGTGCAAAGTTAAAAATTAAACTGAAGAATTTTAATAAAGACCAAGGTCCAAAGAAACTATACAAAATATTAAATTTTGGATAATACACGTCAATAACAATTCTATAAACCGAAATAAGCAGTCTTTAACGTTACTTGCCATACTTGACTATATTTTCCATTTTGATCGCATTCGAGGCACAAGGGAAATGAACGCGCACCGCATAGATTGGATGCCAATCGGCACTTGTTTCTAGATGCCTAGCTAATGGGTGAGTGAAAGAAATATTTTTTTCACTCGTTCCTGTTCTCAAAATTTTGAGCTTTTATTTATTTATTTATTTATTTATTTAGTTTTTTTTTGGTTTAGGAAAATTGCATTCAGAAAATAGCTCTAAAAATACATTTTAAAAGTTGTTCATACTCTATTTAGTACAGTCGCCTTACAACTATGAAATTTCAATCCTAGGTAAATACAAATATTATAAATCATAACTAATGATTCCATTGCCTAAGGTTGAAGGGAAAAATTTTCGTTAAAAAAGGTTGTCCAAGCCCTCCGTCCTTTGTTGACTGCACTTCCAAATAAGAAAGAATGGATAGTTCTCTAGTACTCTATGTATGTATTTTAAATTTCGTAGACTCTTCAGCAACTTTTCAGAGGTTTGCTGCGTATTGAAAAAGCTGCATTGGATCATTCTTAGTTAGTATACTATACATATGGTATCTTTTGAAACCTCGAGGTCTTAACATAGCGAACCTTTTAAACACCGTCCGTGTGATCCCAAGTTACAGTTCTCTGTATAGCCGACATCCAAGTCTTCCTATTTGTCACTAGCTGGCGCCAATAAGAAACTCCGAAGGTAGCCAAGTCCTTCTCCATCTGGCCATTCCATTGCACAGATTGAGGATACCGCGTTGAAAACTTTCAGGGTTGGAGCATCCGTAACTACACTTACAACATGTTCAACGCCTAAGGTATGACGAGAGTGAACTTTACTTCTCAATTAACTAGTCGGTCTAAAGTGGCATTTGTTGGAAAGCGTGATTCTCTGTTGGATTTTAGGTCACACATTATTCTTGGTGTTGACACTGGTTCTAATGAAGTATCGTTCTGTTCTCATTAACCACCAGAACCAAGCGTATTTCTTTTCTAACTAAATTCGTAGCCCTTCTTAGTATCGATGATATTATCTTCTCCAAACATTACATTAAAGAAATCGCACCAAAAAGAGTCACCCCGTCTGAACCGTGTTTGGTATTAAATGCTTCGGTGAGGTCCTTTCCTATTCTAAGAGGCTGGTGCTATTGCCCATCGAAACCTGGTGGTATTACTTATCAATCGAAAGCGAGATTCTAGTAAGGGTACCCATCAGGCACGTCAGTAGGAGCACTATTGTGTGAACAATCAAGGACCCAGCTGTAGCGCCCTTTGAAGTACCAATACATATGTAGGTATATTATATACTGAGGGGAAAAAAATATTAAAATCAATCAGAAACGTAGCTGATCTTTCTATAACCGTCAAGGAAAGTATTGTAGTAAATATTCAATACAACTAATTTAATTGAAATACATTGAAAAGTTTGTTTGTTAAGGTCAAATCTAGCACGTTAGGTAAAAAGTGTAGCTAAAAAGCAGGGTGCGGAAAATTTTCTTCGCCTTGAAAGAAATGGACAGGATGAGAAATATACAGACAGTATAATATTAATTGCAAGATTTCAAAAAACTAAAAAGTAGAAAATAAAATTATAGTTAAAAAACTAAAAACACGCTTTTATTACAACAAGAACTAAAAAGTATAAAATAATTTATAGATATAGCGATTCCGTTTAAGAAGAATAGGAAGTTCCCTAACTTGATTTAATTTAACTTTTTTAAATGAGCTAAAAATAGGATTGAAGTGATTGGCCCGTAGTCATAGTCAAAATAAAGTCCACTGTAAAGTTTGTTGCAATTTTTACAGATATCGCATTAAAAATTATGTCAATATGCTGCAACTAACTTTACAGTGGAATTTATTTTGAATATGACTACGGGCCAATCACTTTAATTCTATTTTTAGCTAATTTAAAAAAGTTAAATTAAATCAAGTTAGGGAACTTCCTATTCTTCTTAAACGGAATCGCTATATCTATAAATTATTTTATACTTTTTAGTTCTTGTTGTAATAAAAGCGTGTTTTTAGTTTTTTAACTATAATTTTATTTTTTATAAGAATCCAGGTCAGTACTTATTGAAATTGACGGAATTTGAACACGGGGAAGAGTAAATCAAGAGCCATTTCGAAGGGAGTTCAAGCCGTTTGCTTAAACTACCTCCCAATATTCGCTTGCTCAAAATCAGATATATCCTAATCAATGTGCCCGAAACTGACTGGGTTCACAATAAGTTTTCGTATTAAATACTGTCAAAGGCAAACTGCCAGTTCAGTATTAAGCGAGTCGCGATGAAGCAGCACTGTCGGTTCGTCGAGTCATTAAAGGTTCGCAGAAGTGGTAGAGCATCGCCTTTCGTTTAAGCGAATATCCGTAATTATTTGAATTTTGGAATACTTTAACCGTCCAGCTGTAGCCGAATTATGGCCGTTTTCTTAAGTAGTTTTTAAAATCTATCTGCCCATACATACATATATTTTGTTCTGAAAAAGAAATGTGTTTGAAGGGCAGATACATTTTGAAACGAACTTGAGAAAACGGCTATAAGACATATTCGAATAATTCGGTTGGACGATATACCGAATAGCTTGAGCTTTAAATGTTTATAGATAAACATTTCTCCGCACTCTAAAATGCTGTACTATTTTGTTAAGCAAATACATAGTTGTTAAGTTATTTTACAGTTATAATTTAATTACTAAGTATTTATTTTATTTTGATAGGAAAAATATTAAAATATTTTGCATAAATAAACACCTCTTTATGAACTTGTATTACATACTCAATACTGTCTTTCCGAAATGCATATGAAATTTGTTTGTATGTAGCTTGAACCCAAAATATGAAGTAATTTGTTCCCTGTCGGAAATTCAATTGCTTTGAAAGCAAATTAAAAAGTACTTTTTTACCAACCACAAATAGTTGGAAATAGAGATGGGCACGCAACGAAAATTTCAATCCCGATCCAGCCCATCCCGGAATTCAATTTTTATTATTATTACTTTTCTTTGCTGTTCGATTTCATAAACCGTATTTAAAGAAGATTTTCTGAATTTGCGGAGGCTGCTCGTATTATAGGGAGTGTCGAAAAGAATTTTGGTCCCGTCCCGCCTGCAAAATTTTTAAAAACCTTCCCGATACCGCCAATCCGGCCATTTTGAAATCAGTACCGTGGGTTCTGCGGGTCCCCATATCCCGAGCCCATCTCTAGCTTGAATTTTTCCTTTTTTCTTGTAAGCAACAAACTTTACTAACGTGGCGATGTCCTGGAACCAAGCTAATTATCCGACACTGCATATGTTTCAACTACTTTAAAGTGCATAAACTGCATAAATAGTTTGTTTCCAACTACTTTGTCACTTCATTAATTTCTGAGACAAATCAGTTATTTCCGATAGGGTTGTGGTACGAGTTGTTGGTGTAAGTATCTGTCAAAGACTGAATGGAATTCAAAAAATTTGATTAAGTTGTGCAAAAATGCAAACATGTAGGTACATTAGACTGTCCCAAAAAACCAAAGTTGTTTTTGTTTAGAGCATACCAACTCATTTTATTGGTTTTGTCTCAAAAACGATCCAAATAAAATTTTATGCAATTTGGACCACGGCAACCCGTGCCGAGAATAATCTTTGTGCAGTTCGAGTGTTTTGTTAATTTACTAACTTTACTTCTATATAAGGCGGTATTACTATACTCCCTACAGTACAAGGGCATAATATTTAGTAAATCTGAGTTTTTAGTTTTTTACCAGGCAGTCAGGATTTTTTCCAAAGGACCCTAAATTATAATATATTTTCAAAAGTTTACACAACATATGGATATCAATTGAAAGAAGAATTCGAACCAAGATTAATTATAACTTTTGTTTCCCGTTATCTTTTTGTCTAAAGAGTCCTTTAAAAATTTTATCCTTCAAGATTTTTAATTTTAAATTCATTTTGAAGAGTCTTAGTTTTTAATTTAAATCCTATTAATATATATAAGGATATTGAAGGATAAAAATTGCAATGGTTATTATAGTTTGATTACTATTTTCGATGTCCGTGGGAAAAATCCTGCCGTCCTATTAAAAATGTAGAGATGCAGATTTACTAAAAATACGTTAAAGTATGGAACTCATATCGAATTTTTCGCAAACATATCGAAAATTTCGCTAAAAAGCACAAATATGGAGGGTATGCATATCAAAATTTGCAAACAAATTTTTTTCCATATATTCTTGGGACAGTCTAATGTACATACATATCTATGATTGAGCACAAATGGTGTATTTTATTTATGTGCGTACATTTAGATGTAAAACAAGAATATGAAGAATAAATGCTCAACCATTTTAAGAAAATATTTAGAATGGCATTGACATAAACATGTTGGTAATAATCACTTGTATGTGATTCTGTACGTACATACATATGTTTGTAAGTGCACAAATGAATAAGTAAATAAATAAATAAATAAATAAAATAATTTGCGTTTAATCAATAATTCTGTTAGTGAGAGTGGCAAAATGTAATTAATAGCCAAAGATAGGAATTTATTTGCAGGAATGCAAAACTTAAAAAAAAAATAAAAATAGTAATATAGCACATAATAACATACATATGCGCATACATATGTTAGGTCAGGTTATGCGGTCGTCGCAAAGAGGAGC